CCAGTTACCGGAGATCTTAGCACGCCTCTGGCCCGTTGGGCCGGCGAAATCAGGAATCGCTCTCTCGGCGCTCTGGCGTCGCGCTCTCGCTGGAGACGCGCTTGCAATCTACTCAAGAACAGCGCCCTTGCGTTGGAATTTCCTGCAATTTCTTCAAGCGCCGCGCTCCCGACACTCAGGCGCTCAGGAATCGAGCTCACGCCCCTGATTCCCTCACACATTATTTAGGAATCGGGTGCAGCCCTTCGTTGCCCCCTTGATGCGCTTCGTGGCCCCGTTGCAGCCCTTCGTGGACCCCTCGCTGCCTTTCGTGGCCCCGTTGCAGCCCCTCGTGACCACCTCGCTGCCCTTCGCGGCCCCACTGCAGCCATTCTTGGCCCCCTCGCTGCCCTTCGTAGCCCCCTCGCAGCCCTTCGTAGCCCCCTCGCTGCGCTTCGTGGCCCCGTTGCAGCCATTCGTGGCCCCCCTTGCTGCCCGTCGTGACCCGTTGCTGCCCTTCGTGGCCCCGTTGCAGCCCTTCGTGGCCCCCTCGCAGCCCTTCGTGGCCCCCTCGCTGCGCTTCGTGGCCCCGTTGCAGCCATTCGTGGCCTCCCTTGCTGCCCGTCGTGACCCGTTGCTGCCCTTCGTGGCCCCTTTGCGGCCCTTCGTGGACCCCTCGCTGCCCTTCATGGCCCCGTTGCAGCCCCTCGTGGCCCCCTCGCTGCCCTTCGCGGCCCCACTGCAGCCATTCTTGGCCCCCTCGCTGCCCTTCGGGGCCCCCTCGCAGCCCTTCGTGGCCCCCTCGCTGCGCTTCGTGGCCCCGTTGCAGCCATTCGTGGCCCCCCTTGCTGCCCGTCGTGACCCGTTGCAGCCCTTCGTGGCCCCCTCGCTGCCCTTGGTGGCCCCGCTGTCGCCCTTCGTGGCCCCGTCGCTGCCCTTCGTGGCCCCGTTGCAGCCCTTCGTGGCCCCCTCGCAACCCTTTGTGGCCCCCTCGCTGCCCTTCGTTGTCCCATATATGTATGCCCTTCGTGGCCCCCGCTCGTCCGCGCCCGTCGTGGCCCCATATGCATGCACTTCGTGGCCCCGCTGTCGCCCTCCGTGGCCCCCTCGCTGCCCTTTGTGGCCCCGTTGCTGCACTCAGTGGCCCCGTCCTTGCCCTCCGCGGCCCAATATATTTATGCCCTTCGTGGCCCCTGCTCGTTCGCGCCCGTCGTGTCCCCATGTGCATGCCCTTCGTGGACCCGCTGTCGCCCTTTGTGGCCCCTCGCTGTCCTACGTGGCCCCGTTGCTGCCCTCAGTGGCCCCGTCGTTGCCTCCGTGGCCCTATGATCTGCCCTTCGTGGCCCCCCCCCGCTCGTTCGCGCTCTTCGTGGCCCCATACGCAGTCCCTTCGTGTCCCCGCTGTCGCCCTTCGTGGCCTACTTCGTGCCTTTCGTAGCCCTGCGGTCGTTCTCTCTCTCTCGCTCTCGCTTTCGATCGTCGTCGCCGTCGTCGTCGCCGTCGTCGTCGACGACGTAGTCGTCGTCGTCGTCGTCGTCGTCGTCGTCGTCGTCGTCGTCGTCGTCGTCGTCGTCGTCGTCGTCGTCGTCGTGGTCGGTCCCCTGTCCGTCCCCGTTGGGGTCGGGCTGCCGCCGATCAGCGCTGCCGCTGGCCAGGCCGACGGTCCGCGGCCGGCCCGCCGCTTGCCGGGGCCCCGCCTGCAGGGAAGAAAGGTATACACCCCAGAAGGGATACGATCGAAGACGAAGAGGGCTTGTATCGAGGGTTTGGGAACTACGCGTCAACGGACACTCGGGCAGATAAGAGCGAACAGTCTTAAACTGATTATTGGGTTTGTTGCTTCTGCTGTTGTTGTTGTCGTTGTAATTGTTATTGTTGTTGTTGGTGTTGGTGTTGACTCCCATTCTATCTAAATAATAATTGTTGTGGGTCCCCCCCCCACCTGGTGCACGTTGTAGTTTTTGTTTCGATTGAAGTGCCCATCCGAAGGTTCGCATCCATTTTTGTATCCAAAAAATTAGGGACAGTCTTGAGGGTCAAACTGTGTCGTTGGCTCCATTTTTTACAACAGCGACAACAACGACTCCCGTCTGATATTTCCTCCCAATGTATTGAGGAAGCGCGCTCTCGCTTCGGACCCTTTGGCAATTTACCACCGAATCGCGGCTCCCGCCTGATATTTCCTAATAATGTATTGCAGAATCGCGTTCTCACTTGGGATTTCCAGGCAATTTTCCGCCGAACCGCTTCGCTTGATATGTCCCTACAATTTGTTCAGGTGCCGGTCCTCGACACTCAGGAATCGCGCTCCTGCGACAGATTGCCTGGCGGTTCAAGCAGGACAGCAGGACTCACACTTCAACCACCCGCACGCTCGACCCGCCCGTCGAGGCCTGCCCGCCAGACCAGTCCGTGACCTCTTTGCTGCCCTCAGTGGCCCCGCCGTCGCCCTTTGTGGCCCCGTATACGAATGCCCCTCGTGGCCCCCGCTCGCTCGCGCCCGTCGTGGCCCCATATGCGTGCCTCTCGTGGTCCCGCTGTCGCCCTTCGTGGCCCCCTCGCTGCCCTTCGTGGCCCTGGTGCAGCCCTCAGCGGCCCCGTCGCTGCCCTCTGTGGCCTCGGATTTTATGCCCTTCGTGGCCCACGCTGGCTTTTCCCACGATTTACTTAGGAATCGCGCTATCGCTCGAGACGCCCTCGCGATTCATGCAGGACCCACGCTTCAGCAACCCGCCTGCTCGACCTCGTCGCCTGGGCCCGTCTTCCCAACCTGCCCGCTATGGGTCTGCCCAGCCGATCTGCCAGTCTGGTTCTACCACTTGTTTTCTGATCCTTGCCCCCCTCCTGCTAATTTGACTCGTGCTCCATTCTTCCTCCCCCCCTTCCACCCGTCCTCTCTTCCCTTGTTTTAGTGGCTGTACTAAATACGCGTGGCAAGTAAGGAAGATATGCCCCCAAGGGGGTACGATCGAAGACGACGAGGGCGGGTACCGAGGGTTTGGGATATACGTATTGATTGGCACGTGCGCAGATAGGAGCGAACAGTCTTAAAATGAATGTTGTTGTTGTTGGTGTTGGCCCGGGGGCCAGGGGCGCAGTTTGACCCTCGCGATTTCCCCTAGCCCAGAGAAAGCAGGGTGCGAGCCCAGGGGGAAGCACGTCAATTGAAGAAACACGATGGTCACCGGAGGTGTGATCAACAATCCATATGTCTTGGTGTGAGAATTCAGCAACATCAACATCAACTATTCTAAGACTGCTCGCTCTTATTTGCTCGAGTGCCATTCAACACGTATTTTCCGAACCTTCGATGCCCGCCCTCTTCGTCTCCGACACCGTGCCCCTGTCGGGGTATATCTTTCTTACCTGCAACATGTACTTCGTGCAGCCGCTGAGACAGGGGAAGAAATCACGGATGGAAGGGAGGGACAAGGGGGAGGGAGGAGGATGGAGCACGAGCGAGACTACGAGGAGGGGGGGCTAGGAACAGAAATCCTGTGGCAGAACCAGACGTGCAGATAAGGCGGGTGGACCCTACCAGGCGGGTCGGGAAGGCAGGCCGAAACGGCCAGGTCGAGCAGGCGGGTTGCCGAAGCGTGCGTTCTGCATGAATCGCGAGGAAATCTCGAGCGACAGCTCGATTCCCAAATACATTGTGAGGATATCAGCAGCGAGAGCGTGACTCCTGAGTGTCGGGGGCGCGGCGTCTGAATCAGTTGCGCGGAGTCCCACGCCAGAGCGCGATTCCTCAATAAAGCGAGACGGCGATTTGGGAATACATTTCGAGGCAGTATCAGGCGGGAGCCGTTATTGTTGTAGTTCGGGGCCCAACAGCGCAGTTCGAAGAGGATGAAGTTTCCGTGATAAAAGACAGGGTGTGAGCCCCGGGACGGGCATTTCGGCATTTCAATCGAAACACACACACATATCTATATATATATATATATATGTTACCAGAGGGGGGATCTACCATAGTTTTTCCTCAGCAGCGTGAGGTCATCATCAACAACAACAACAACAGCAGTCCGCACCGCGGGACCCCTGTTCAGCCACGGACCCAGGGACAGTGAGTGACCGTTCGGCCCCCCCACTCTGATTTTTCCCTTGGCATCGCTCGGACGTGTGCATTTTTCCTTCGGATGAAAAAACCACGCACGAAACCGAAAAAACACAGGTAATGGACGTCCGAGCGATGGCCAGTCCCTGACCCCCCCGTCGTCCGCGCACATGCCTCGGGCCATGATGTGCGACCCCCCCCCCTTGGACGCCCCCATTTTGGGACGCCCCCATTTTGTTTGGAGGAGGAGGAGGAGGCGGAGGAGGAGGAGGAGGAGGAGGAGGGGGCGTGCGGTTTTTTCGCGACCCGGGCGGCGTGATGGGCAGCGGGAAGCGTGACGTTTGCGGGACTCGTGCAGTGGGAAGGGCACGGGGCTCGTTGCGCGATTTTTTTTTGGAGGAGTGAAGCGCAGCTCTGCTTGGTTTCATGGAGCGGATGCTGGTTCTAACCACTCCCATGCGGCGTCCCTGGAGAGGGAAACGCTGTATTGCCAGGACTCGTGGAGCGGGAAGGGCAAGGGGAAACAGGTTATGTGTGGTCTCGCGCGGCGCCCCCCGTCGAGTGTCATAGGCGGTGACAGCGGGCGAGGACGAGGAAGAGGAGGATGCTCTAATTAGATACATAAGCTCGGCATGTCGGGAATGCGAACGGCATGACGAAGAGGAGCAGCAAGATGATTAACCAACAGAAGACTGCTTTCCGATGTTTTGTCCGATGCCCTGAGGCCGCATTCCCAAGTGAGCCTCGTGCGTGTCTCTGAAGGCTCCAATGCACAGTCTGCCGCCCGGAGCTTGAACCGGCAACTCAAGACCACACGGTCAAAACGGATGTCGAAGCCCCCGAGAGTGGAGTTGTTTGGGCGAGGTGGGCGCGCCAGAGGCACGCGGGGAGGGACGCCACCGTGAGCTTTGAGGCACAGCGCAGCGCGGAGCGCCGACGCCCCCGGCCCGCCACGGACTCCGAGGAGGTGAGGCAGCACCAGAAGCGGCTCGACGCCGCCACCAGCAGGGCCGCCGAGGTGGAGAAGCAGAACGAGGCCGGGAGCTGCAGCATCATCTCACGAGGGAGAGGGCAGGAGTTCTCCTTTCCCTCGCGCGTCCTCTCCTGGCCTCCCTCCCCCGCGCCCCTCGGCTTGCACCCGAGGCTCGGCATTGCCGGGAGCTGGCGAGGGGTGCCAGCATCCATCCACCTCTGAGCCCCCCGCGATAGGGGGGCACAGGGGGCGATACGATTCGCCGAGGGGCTGCGCCGTGGAGCCGATCGTGAGGCGTCCTCGGAGCCCCACCGGGGGCGGACGGGCATCCTCGGCATCCACGCCCGGCTGTGCGCAGGTTGCGCGCGGGGGCGGATGCATCGGCATAGAAGCACGGCGACGGCAGCCGAGGTGTGGAGGCAGGGGGGGAGGTGGAAGTGCGGCACCTGTGGGATGCCACAGGTGAGTTCCGCCGACTGCGGCCTGGCTCGTCGCTAGACGCGGGTCCAGCTGTTGCACGACGGCGGCAGTTGCGCACCCTTGTCGATTGCTCTCAGCAATAAAAGGGTACGGCGACGGCAGCCGACTGCGCGGACTGGGGCTTGGCATCGCTCGGACGCGTGCCTTTTGTCTCGGCGGGGACCATCGAGGAACATCTTGGACCATCACGCGAAACATGCAGTCAACGCGCCTAGTAAGGACACGCGCATTCATCGAGGGTTCCCTCGTGTCCCTGCCTGTGTGGCCCGTGCTTTGCCGTTTTCACGGGTCGCCCGTCGCCCAGAAAATCCCAATTTCGGCGTTCAAGGGTTTTGCGTCCCTACCACCCTCGCAGGCGATTCTTCTCCCCCAACCCCCGGACTTCTCGACGAAAAATGACGCCGCTCAGAATAGAAGGGAAGCCTTGGGATACACACCAAGGGAGCTAGCTATTCTGAGGCACCATTGTCGAGCTGGGACGCCCCCCCTATCTTGTATCCCAGGGTTTGGTCCCAAATTGCTGGTCCATTCGAAAACCTGTCAAAACCTGGGATAGGGGTCGACGCATCCCTTGTTACACCCGTCCTTCCTCCCCTAGGGGCACCCCCGTCCGACAACACGCACCCATAGCCCCGTCCGCCCCCCCTATGGGTACGCTTGGGTTTCTTAATAAGCGTGGGGGGGCACCCCCCTGACGGGGGTCAACTTGGCCTCGTCGTCGCGCCGCGACGGCGGTCGGAGCGCCTTCGGCGCGCGGTGGCTGCCCACGACGGGGTCGACGCGGGGCTGTCGGCTGGGGTGGCGCCCCCCCGACGCGTATTGAGAAATTCGGAGCATGGGTGCGTGTTGTTCGTTCGTCATTCCACCCGGCCTCGGTGCCCGTTTGGACGGCACGCGCACGAAGCCGAACAAAACCTGCACGCGGGCAGTGGACGCCCCCGAGCGGCGGCGAGAGCCACGTGCTCCGTGCTCCGAGGGCGGCCGCCCCGCCTCCAGAAAGGGGGGTCCACCGCGTCCCCTCCCTGAGGACGGGCGTCGGCCGGCCAGGGAGGGCGAGAGGCCAGCGGAGTGGCTATCCATCTGGACGCCCGAAATGGGCACGGAAAGAGTGGGTACAATGCCCAACAGTGGTTCCTGTTCATATTGCACAGGATTCGCTGTCCACGCCGCCGCGGCCTGTGTCCATTCGAGACAGATGGCCGCCTGCCCAACAGCGGCCGCTGTTGGTTTGGGACAACATTTGTTGTTGGGCATTGTGCCCATTCTTTCCGTACCCATTTCGGGCGTCCAAATATACAGTGGAGGCCCGTGCCAAGAAGCACCCTGCTTGCCTCCAGGGTGCCCTGGGTTTCTTGCGTTTCGATGGCTTTGCTACAGAAGACGTGACGCTCCCACACCAAACATCATCAAGATCAATGGACGTCCTGGGGTCTCAGGGTTGGGTTTCTCGTGGAAGGTTGCGTGTGGTCGAGCTCCTGCTGTACGCACCCGTCGTTGAAAGTAGGTCAGGGTGAGGGGGGCGAACGGTCATTCATTGTCCCTCGGTGCGTGGCTGAATGAGGAATTCGTGATGAGAGTTCTGCGTGTTACGTTGTTGTTGTGGTTGTTGTTGTTGTTGGTGGTGGTGGTGTTGTTTATGTTGTTGTTGGTGGTGTTGTTGGTGTTGTTGGTGTTGGTGTTGTTGTTGTTGGTCTTGTTGTTGGTGGTGGTGTTGTTGCTGTTGTTGTTGTTGGTGTTGTTGTTGTTGGTAAAACCTTCAGCTCTGAAGAATGAGTATTGTTTATCCCTCCTCACCAGTGCGTATTTTGTTTCCCATCAAAGTGTGCCCCTCGGCGTTCGCACACTGTTTTTTGGCAGGGAAACTCTTGATGCTCAAACTATGTCCCCGGCCCCCTGGATTACACCAACAACGGCTCCCGCCTCAGACTTCCTCCAAATGTGCTCATGACCCCCGCTCCCGCCTGAGAATTCCTAATTATTTACTCAGGATCGGTGCTCCCGCCTGTGACTTCCTCGCAATTTAGTCAGGACCCCCGCTCCCATGGGAGACATCCTGACAATTTACTCAGGAACGGCGCTCCCGCTTGAGACTTCCTCGCAATTGAGTCAAGACTTCCTAGCAATTTAATCAAGACCCCCGCTCCCGCCAGAGGATCCTTCACATGTTATTCAGGAATAGCGCTCTCGCCTGTGACTTTCATGCTCTCGCCTTTCGACGCTCAGGGAACACGCTGCGCCAAGGACGCAGTCACAATTTACTTAGGAATCGCGCTCTCGCCATACTCAGGCATCCCGCTTGAATATCTTACCCGCCCGACCCGCCCGTTAGGGGATCGCCCGCCCGTCGTGGGCTCCCGCCCGAGACTTCCTTCCGGAACGGCGTTTTCGCCTAGGACTTCCTCGAACGTTCACGCTCTTACCGTCCTGCTCCTCCTCCCTCTCCCTCCTCCCTCCTCCCTCTCCTCCCTTCTCTCTCCCTCCTCTCTTCCCTCATCCTTTTGCCTCTCCGCACTATCCCCTCGCCCTCCTCTCCCTCCTCCCTTCTCCCTCCCCTCTCCTGCCTCCTCCCTCCCTCTTTCTTACTCTCTCTCCCCTCTCTCTCTCTGCCTCTAATCAACCGCCCCCCTTTTCGCTCCTTCTCTCCTGGCGTTCTCCCTCTTCCTGCGTCCCTCCCCCTCCCTTCCTCCCGCTCTCCCTCGTTCTCCCCTTTTTTTTAGGGCCCACACCCATTCCAATGGCGGGCACATGTACGCCCACGGAGGATTGTCCGCCCGTTCAGGTTTGCCCGCTTGTCTAAGCCCGCTGTTCCCCGCAAAGAGAAAGAATCCCCCCCAAAGGATGTGTGATCGAAGACAAAGGGCGGGTATTGAGGGTGTGGGGAACTCGTTTTGAAAGGCACACGGGCAAGTAAGAGCAAACAGTCTTATACTGATTATTGTTGTTGATGCTGTTGGTCTTGTTGTTGTTGTTGTCGTTGTTGTTGTGTATGTTGTTGGTGTTGTTGCTGTTGTTGCTTTTGTTGTTGTCGTTGTTGGTGTTGTGGTTGTTGTTAATGTTGGTTGTTGTTGTTGCTGCTGCTGCTGCTGCTGTTGTTGTTGTTGTTGTTGTTGTTGGTGTTGTTGTTGTTGTTATGTTGTCGTTGTCCCACCCGCGACACACCCCGCGACCCACCCCGCGACCCAGCCGCTACCCAACCCGTGACCCACCCGCGACCCACCCCGCGACCCACCCGCGACCCATCCGCGACCCACCCGCGACCCACCCCGCGACCCACCCTCGATGGTGGAAAAACCACCCGGACACTACAATTGACGTTTAATCAAACGGCTTTGGGCGTTGACTGAACAGCCTTGCCATGTTCGATTCATTCCTTGTGTGCGTTTGCTAAACGGCTTCGCTTGCCGGGGTGATTGTTAGGGGTTGGGTTTTCTGCCCTCTACACCCGCGACCCATTTGCGACCCACCCTCGACCCACCTGCGACTTCCCACATTGGTTTAACGAAAAAAACGGCGCCTCCGGCGGACTCGTTGCGTAATTTGTGAAACTTTGGCGCCTGCGGCGGGCTTCTCCAGAGTCTCGCAAATTGCCGACGTCACACCGCCCCCTCACTCTTATCCGCATCTGCGGGGTGCTACGTATTTTTTTGGATACGCACTCTATTTTGGGCGCCTTCCTACTTCAAGGATCGACTGGTTTCCTTCTTCCCTCCGCTTCAATGGGCGGGCGGAGGCCCAACCTACTTCCAACGCCTTCCTACCTCATGTTTCTACCCACTTACTCCGACTGGCGTGTACAGTGGAAATCCATGCCAAGAAACACCTTGCTTGTCTCCAGGGTGCCCTGGGTTTCTCGGGCTTCGATTGTTTTGCGATGGAAGGCGCGACGTGCCCACACCAATCATGGATGGACGTCCTGGGGTCTCAGGGTTGGTTTCCTTGCGGAGGGTTTCTTGTGGACGGGCCTCCTGTGCAGGCCTGGAGCCAGACGGGGCCGGGACGAGGACGAATCCGTTCCAGAGCGTTCCGGAACGCTCTCAGAGCGTGCCGGGACGCCCTGAGAAGGTCGCGGCGCCTGAAACGTCTCCTTCTCCTCCTGCTCCTCCTCCTCCTCCTCCCCCTCCTCCTTCTCCTCCTCCTCGTCCTCCTCCTCCTCCTCCTCCTCGTCCTCCTCCTCCTCCTCCTGCTCCTCCTCCTCCTCCTCCCCCCCCCTCCTCCTACTCCTCCTCCTCCTTCCCCACGCATTCTTCCCTCAGGGCGGAGGCCGGCCAGGGAGGGCGAGAGAGGGTCGCGGAGCGCCTGCAGGGCTCCCAGGGGGTACGTTTTAGGGCTGATTCGTGTCTTTCGCCACCTCGTGTATCCTTTTCCCTCCTCCTCCTCCCTCCTCCTCCTCCTCCATCCTTTTCCTCCTCCTCCTCCTTCTCATCCTTTTCCTCCTCCTCCTCCTTTTCCTCCTCCTCCTCCTCCTCCTCCTCCTGCCCCTCCTCCCCCTGTAGGTGGTGACGTTAGTCCAGCCGCTCAATGCTGACCATTGCCGTTGTTCTGCGCGGGTGTTGTAACGGCTCGTCGCCGGGTGCGGTGACGGACCCGTGAGGTGCAGCGGATTGCCTGGTGCCCGCTCCATTAGTCTCCCGCGAAAACATAGGCCTCCTAGATGTGGTTCAGAGGAGGTTCGGTACCCATACCGCTACCCATCGGTCGGTGAAAGTAGGTATTTTGGGATCCCCAGACTCCAATACATTGTACGCGCTTGTCTACTTCAACGATCGAGTGGCTTCACCTCTTCCGTCCTCCTTAGGGGGCGGACGGAATTCAATCTTCTTTCAACGCCTTGTTACTTCATGTGTCGACCTACTCCTTCCGACCGATGGGTACCCTTCACCCGCGTTCCCCTTGTTGGGCCTTCTCGGAGGCCCTCGTTCCCACCGTTGGGTTCGCCTCGAGATGTTGGTTAGAACGCACCCTGGGAGAGGTCTGAGGAGTAGCGGTATCGGTATGTTTTGGTCTTCCCAGTTTCGCGCCGTATCGCCGATGCATCGTCGATGCGGTTCGATGTGGAGCCCGATTTTCTCCACGGTGGTGTCGCCGTTGCATCGCCGATGTCGCCGATGCATCGGTGATGTATCGCCCCGCATCCCGGCCCGCCCTCGCAACCCAAGCTGAGGCAGGGGGTCTGGGGCTCAGCTTTTTCTTGACAGTCGGGATCTTTCTCGGATTCGGTGCAACTGCGGTGATAGCACTTGCAAGCAACGTTCCAAGCAGCGAGGAGTCACTATCGCCCCGTACGGGGGGGGGTCCATCTTGTGGCCTGCGCCTGCACTTGCATGTTGGCGTCATGGCCGACGGGAGACCCCCAGCTTTTCATCCACGTATCCACCCGTGCTACTCCTCATCCTATTCCATGCCGTCCATATCGTTCCTCCCTCCCCTCCCCCCTGCCCCTGGACGAGCCAACTTTTTCCAGAATCTCATTTGCACAGGCGTTTTTCTCCCTCGCCCCCCCCCTCCCTCCATCCCTCGCTTGCATCCCCCTCCCTTCCCCTCCCTGGCGCGAGCTTCCCTTTGCATCCACTCCTCCCGAGGGCCTCACTGGGGCCCTGGAGCAGTCCAGGGAGGAGGCGACGGCCGCGCTGGCTGCCGCCGACGAGAAGGCGCTCCGGCTGGCGCAGCTCCGCGCGCCTTGTCAGGTTTGGTCACGGTCCGATTAGATCAGATCCGATCCGATCCTCAAATCTCGGTTCCGACCCGAGCCGATCCGACACCAGCCGATGCCGTGCCCGGCTTGGGGGGGTCGAGCCCTGATCAGCGATCCCACCCGGTCCGATCTCGGTGCGATGCCGCGCAGATTCAGGCGTGGCCCGATACGTATGTTTCCGATCTCGTTCGAGTTTACGACGGGATCCAGATCAAGCTCACAGGTGTGACTCTACAGTGGAAACCGATGCCAGGAAGCACCCTGTTTGCCTCCAGGGTGCCCTGTGTTTCTTGGGTTTCGATAGTTGTGCTATGGAAAGCGTGACGTCCCAACACCTAGAATCAATGGACGTCCTTGGGTATCAGTATTGGGTTTCTTCTGGAAGGTTTCTTGTGGTCGAGCTCCTACTGTACTGCCCCCTTGCTCCCGCCTGCTGCCCCTTTTCCGCCCCCGTCCGCCCTTCCCTCTTTGCAGCGCGTCGTTGTCCAGCGTGCTTCTACGGCCCTGGCTCCCCGAGGGCGGCTGGAAGCGAGCACGCCCTGCGCATGCACCAATATAAGACACACCACCTGCTCCAGATCTCACGCTAGCGTTGGGCGGGTCGAGAAGGTGTTTGACGGTGCGTCTGGGACCCCCCCTCCAGAGCGGTGCAACGGGTCCACCACCGAGACCTCCAAACAATTTGGTTCGACGAGGCCCGTTAGACCCCCACGAAAGTAGACCGCCCCCCCAACCCGGTGTTATGAGATCTGGAGTGTCCTACATAACGGCCATGCCTCGAGAAAGTTTTGTGGTTGTTTCGTCCAGTTCGATTTCCCAGCTGGTAGGTCGATGCCCACGGCCAATCGGCGGATATGCCACCCCACCCAGCCACATACACGTCGAGGGAGGACCGGACGAGGAGGAGAGGCAGGTATGTACGGGCGGGAGGTTTGGGGAGGAACAGGCGGAGCAGCAGGGGGAGGAGCAGCAGCAGCAGGGCGAGGACGGGTAGGACAGGGAAGAGGATGAAGATGACGACGATGATGATGACGATGAGTCGATCGAATGTCTGCATGACTAATACTCCAGGAGTTTTGGACTAACCATATATGGACCTCTGCATGGATTAGGCGGCGATGGCGCGGCTGTAACATAAGAGACTTAGGTAATCGTGTGTTTCGGAAGAGCGACCAGTTTTCACAGGAACCTTCAGTTGCAAATCATGCCGTGGCACCGTTTGCACCAATCAAGGGATAGCCTGTTGGACGGTGTTCCCCGTCCAGCAGGAAGTTTTGAAAGTCAATGTTTATTGTATATTGACGTAATGTTACCGCGTCATGTCTGGGACATATTCTCGTCTTAGTCATAACAATCGTGTCGAATTGTCATTTCTAGTGAGATTTTTTGAGGGGTGACGCTGGCGTACGTTGTGAGCACCTGGGGGTTTGGGACGGTCGCGGATCTTGCGGCAAGGTATCAGCCTGGAGTCTCGCCGAAGCAGTCTCGCCGGAACATAAGCACGTACGCCGCGTACGTGCTTATGTTTATGGTTTTGACAAAACACGGGTGGAAACAAGCTTTGGCGTGCGCGTTTGCCCAGTATGCGACGACTGTTCTGGCACGATTGCATGGATAAGTACTGCGATTTTTCGATACTTGTAGACACTAATCGGCACAATCTCGATTCGCTCTGTGAGTTCCTGAGCAGGTGCATTTATGTGGCAGGGTCGTCATTTCGGACTGGTCAAGTCGCCGTCGCCAGCAGACCAGAGCGGCGACATCTGTGGTGGCAGCGCGGTGGTGAAGTGGCGATCAATTTTGAGGAGGGAAAGGTCGTTCAGATTGCATTTGTTTTGGGAAGACGTCTCTGTTCCTCAGTCCTCGAGGAAAGCTGCAAGAGGGCTCATCATGCTCGGGTCGCGCAGCGGTGCCTGCGACCCGGCGTTCCCCCACCACGTTCTGTGAAACGCGTGCCTTCTCAAGGTCCCACAGGCTGGAAGAGTGGCTCGGCTTCCGCAGCGCGTATTCACTACAGTTCAAGGTAAGGGGCTAGCGCGTAAGCATCGGCTCAGCGACAATATGCGCGTTGGGCAGGAATGGGCGACGTGTGGGGGAACGACTCACACGAGTGACATGCAGTTCGAGGCTCGTTGGGAGTAGAATTGTCGCGGGACCTGAATTTGAATTGTTCAGCAAGCATGTGGCAAAGATGAGTCCGAAAATTCGAGTTTGTGTGGAGCACTGCGTGAACGACCCGACATGCAGCCCATGTGCAACAACGACAATTGCCAGACAGGTCGCTGGCCTTTCCAGAGGGCTAGGTTGTGGTGGAAATTGCTTCAGCATAAGAGATGGAAAACGGTGGTGATAACCCGTTGGGAGGGAGAATGAGCCGCGACGAATGAATGGCAGAGGGTTGAGCACGCAGCACAGACGGTAGGAGGCAGAGGCCTGAGCACGCAGCACAGAAGATAGGAGGCCGGAGTCATTACCGGGATTACCGCCATCACCAGAGCGACACGATGGGAGGAAGCAGGAGCAGAGGGAGCAGGAGTAGGAGGGAGGAGGAGGAGGAGCAGGAGCAGGAGCAGGAGGGGGAGGAACGTTCGCCTCGTCAGCCGCGCCGCCTCAGAGTGGCCCCAGGAGAAGGCGGCGGCGGAGGCCGTGCGGGAGCTGCGAGCAGAGCGGGGCAGGTTCGACGCGGCTCTGGAGGAGAGCTTCTGCCCTTCCTCCGCGTCCTGCTCCATGATCTGGCCCCCTGGATCTCGTCCCTCCTCTTCTCGGGAGTTGCCAGAAGTGCACTTGGCCCGAGGTGCCGCCAGGAGTTCCAAGGAGGCCCCCACGGCCTCCAGAGCACCCCTCACGAGGCCCAGGGGCATCAAACTTGAGCGAAAAGCTGGGGGCACATTGGGCAAGGGGTACCTTTGGCATCCCCCGATCTTCCCATTGGCCATCCCTCGTCCGCCAGTTCCCTCCTCCCTCATACCCGCAGCCCCGGCATGCACCGGCCACCGGACCTGGACGTGTGTGCTGATCGGGGGCAACGATAAGGGGGATAGGCATAGGGGGGGACGCATCGACCCCCAATCGCCCATTGATCGCCGATAGGGGCCCGATAGTCCCAACCTGCCCAGGAAGGTGCGGATTCACTATCGGAGGCCTATCGCCGATCTATCGGCGATGGATGTATCGCCTAATCCAGGTCGATGCATCCCCCACCATGCCAGTCCCCCCCTATCGTTGCCCCTTAGCTGAAGGTCCCGGACGCGCCTCGCAGGGGGGTTCGCCCAGCCAGAGCTTCTTCGGCACCCAGGGTGGAGGTCGACAGTTCGCTTGATATTACAGTGCCGTTTTTAATACATGCTCCGCGTGCGGATCATGTATTAAACATGCAGGGATCTAGTATTGAAAACAACGATGAGTTCATGCATGAATTTATTCATACTTTACTTTATACATATAACGGCGCACCGGGTCCGGGGGCCCGGGGCCGGGACCCCGACCGCAAATGTGCACCCCGGGGGGCCCGGAGGCTCGTCGGGGCTTGCCGGAGGCCTCCCCAGTCAGACAAGACGGCCCAAGAAGCGCCCAAGACGGCCCAAGAAACTTCCAAGAGGCCTCCAAGAGGGCTCCGAGATGCTGAAGATGGCCTCCAGACGTCCAAGGACGCCCCCAAGAGGCCCCAAGAAGCCTCCAACATGCGTCCCAAGAGGGCCCCTAGACGCAAAAATTTGCCCATTCCCTTCGTAAAACGTACATTTTCAACAAAGTTGTCTTTTGGGCTTTCCGACGTTACAGGACGGCCCAAGAGGCGCCCAAGACCGCCCCAAGACGGCCCAAGAAGCTTCCAAGAGGGCCCCAGGACAGCCCAAGAGGGCCCCAAGACGGCCCAAGAGGCGCCCAAGATGGCCCAAGAGGGCCCCAAGACGGGCCCAAGAGGGGGCCCAGAGGGGGACCACGAACCGCAAGCTCGAGCCTTCCGCCCCAAGAGGCCGCCAGGAGGCCCCCAGGAGGCCCCTCAAGAGGCCCCAGGAGACCCCAGACGTCCAAGGACGCCCCCAAGAGGCTCCAAGAAACCTCCAACCTGCGTCCCAAGAGGGTCCCTAGACGCAAGAATTGGCACATTCCCTTCGTAAAACGTACATTTTCAACAAAGTCGCCTTTTGGGTTTTCCGACGTTACAGGACGGCCCAAGAGGCGCCCAAGACCGCCCCAAGACGGCCCAAGAAGCTTCCCAGAGGGCCCCAGGACAGCCCAAGAGGGCCCCAAGACGGCCCAAGAGGCGCCCAAGATGGCCCAAGAGGGCCCCAAGACGGGCCCAAGAGGGGGCCCAGAGGGGGACCACGAACCGCAAGCTCGAGCCTTCCGCCCCAAGAGGCCGCCAGGAGGCCCCCAGGAGGCCCCTCAAGAGGCCCCAGGAGACCCCAGACGTCCAAGGACGCCCCCAAGAGGCCCCAAGAAGCCTCCAACATGCGTCCCAAGAGGGCCCCTAGACGCAAGAATTGGCCCATTCCCTTCGTAAAACGTACATTTTCAACAAAGTCGCCTTTTGGGTTTTCCGACGTTACAGGACGGCCCAAGAGGCGCCCAAGACCGCCCCAAGACGGCCCAAGAAGTTTCCCAGAGGGCCCCAGGACAGCCCAAGAGGGCCCCAAGACGGCCCAAGAGGCGCCCAAGATGGCCCAAGAGGGCCCCAAGACGGGCCCAAGAGGGGGCCCAGAGGGGGACCACGAACCGCAAGCTCGAGCCTTCCGCCCCAAGAGGCCGCCAGGAGGCCATCAGGAGGCCCCTCAAGAGGCCCCAGGAGACCCCAGACGTCCAAGGACGCCCCCAAGACGCTTCGCGTCACCAATTTCTTCTCGCAACGATTCCTGGGTCTGTGACTCGACAGAACCTAAGCGCGCGCGAAGCGCGCGACGGCCCAAGAAGCTTCCCAGAGGGCCCCAGGACAGCCCAAGAGGGCCCCAAGACGGCCCAAGAGGCGCCCAAGATGGCCCAAGAGGGCCCCAAGACGGGCCCAAGAGGGGGCCCAGAGGGGGACCACGAACCGCAAGCTCGAGCCTTCCGCCCCAAGAGGCCGCCAGGAGGCCCCCAGGAGGCCCCTCAAGAGGCCCCAGGAGACCCCAGACGTCCAAGGACGCCCCCAAGAGGCTCCAAGAAACCTCCAACCTGCGTCCCAAGAGGGTCCCTAGACGCAAGAATTGGCCATTCCCTTCGTAAAACGTACATTTTCAACAAAGTCGCCTTTTGGGTTTTCCGACGTTACAGGACGGCCCAAGAGGCGCCCAAGACCGCCCCAAGACGGCCCAAGAAGCTTCCCAGAGGGCCCCAGGACAGCCCAAGAGGGCCCCAAGACGGCCCAAGAGGCGCCCAAGATGGCCCAAGAGGGCCCCAAGACGGGCCCAAGAGGGGGCCCAGAGGGGGACCACGAACCGCAAGCTCGAGCCTTCCGCCCCAAGAGGCCGCCAGGAGGCCCCCAGGAGGCCCCTCAAGAGGCCCCAGGAGACCCCAGACGTCCAAGGACGCCCCCAAGAGGCCCCAAGAAGCCTCCAACATGCGTCCCAAGAGGGCCCCTAGACGCAAGAATTGGCCCATTCCCTTCGTAAAACGTGCATTTTCAACAAAGTCGCCTTTTGGGCTTTCCGACGTTACAGGACGGCCCAAGAGGCGCCCAAGACCGCCCCAAGACGGCCCAAGAAGCTTCCAAGAGGGCCCCAGGACAGCCCAAGAGGGCCCCAAGACGGCCCAAGAGGCGCCCAAGATGGCCCAAGAGGGCCCCAAGACGGGCCCAAGAGGGGGCCCAGAGGGGGACCACGAACCGCAAGCTCGAGCCTTCCGCCCCAAGAGGCCGCCAGGAGGCCATCAGGAGGCCCCTCAAGAGGCCCCAGGAGACCCCAGACGTCCAAGGACGCCCCCAAGACGCTTCGCGTCACCAATTTCTTCTCGCAACGATTCCTGGGTCTGTGACTCGACAGAACCTAAGCGCGCGCGAAGCGCGCGCGTGGTTCTAGTCCTACCTATACGACCACCCTACGGGTGATAAGGAGGTTGGGGGGGGGTGGAGGGGCCGAGCAATGGGCAACAGTGGTGATTGTTCTCCTGACGATGCCAGTGGAGATTTTTTTTTTCGGAGGCCTGCTGAAGCCCCTCTTGTCGCCACTGACTAAATCGCTTCAAAACATTGCTCAACGGCTGCCCTTCGGCGGTCGAGACCGATGCACCGCCATCATAGTTTTTTCCCTTGCTCAAACAGCGCAAACGGCTGGAAGCCCAGCGAAAGCGTGCCTCATGCAGTCAGAGAATACCGAAGCGCTGGCAAAGCCTGGCATACACCGTGTCCCCCTAATAGCACTACAGCAAAGCCCGTGCGCTGGCAAAGCCCGCGCACTGCAGCAAAGCCCGTGCCCCCTAATAGCACTACAGCACAGCCCCTGCCCTCTGGCAAACCCCCTGCGCCATCATCAACATCATCTCATCATCATCATTACCATCATCATCATCATCATAATCATCATCATAATCATCATCAACATCACCATCGGGACACCGACGGGACACCGACGGGACACCGGCGCGCCGGCAGGACACCGGCGGGACACCGCGCGCCACCGGCCGCCCGGCGGAGAATCAATTGGTCCGGCCGCGCCTCAGCCACACGAGACTTTCCTCTCGCCCGCCCACGCAGCTTCGCCTCGCCCGCACGGCACGCACGAACACGAAACCGAAATCGATTTCCCGGTAGGGGGGCTCTCCGTTCCACTTCGATCTCACCCCCCAACCTCCGATGTCTTAAAAGCTGCCCTGTACCAGCAACAGGGCGCACCCTCACGAAGGCAGCGAGGAGGAGGCGAGAGAGGGGCAGGGAACAGAAATCCGGAAGGCGGAGGAGACGGAAAGCAGCCCGCGAGGTGTGAGCCACCGGGCCCCGCCGTCGGGCGCGCGCGCGCACCCGTGTGAGTGCAAGGAGAAGGGTTAAGTCGGGCCTGTCCCCCATACAGGGGGGCATTCGACGAAAAATAAAGAATACCCCCAAAATGTTTTTTTTTTTTTTTAAAAAAAAAAAAAAAAAAAAAAAAAAAAAAACCCAAAATAGCCTGGGGACTATTTTTTGGGCATGTTTGGGTTTTTTTTTTGCGCATGTGTGGGTATTCTTCATTTTTTCGTCGAAAATCCCCCTGTAGTGGGGGACGCGCCCGACTTAAGGGAAGGGTGGGGTGTCATCCCCTTCTTCTCTTTTTCCTTCCTCTCTCCCACTCATTCCAAATATGCGAATTAGGGAGGAGGGGCTTGGGAGCAGCAGGCAGAGGCATGATAATAAGTATAAGGAGGGAGGAGGGCGGGGTGTCATTCCCTTCTTCCCTTCTTCCTTGCTCTCTCCCACTCATTCCAAGGATGCGAATTAGAGAGGGGGGGGCTTGGGAGCAGCAGGTAGAGGCATGAGAAGAAGTATGAGGAGGGAGGAGGATGGGAGCGAGGGAGGACGATTGTAGCGGTCTGTTGAGAAAGGAGAAGAGGAGAGGCAGTAGGGATGAAGAAAGGTTATGGAGTGGGAGGAGGGAGAGGATGAAGGACTGATCTGGGGGAGAAGGGAGGATGAGGGAGAAGGCAGCCAGGAGGAGCACGGAATGATGGAGGGAAAGAGGGAGGAAGAGTCGGATAACAGGATGAGGCAGACCAGAATGCAGAAGAGGATGATCATGAGAAGGGGGGAAAAGAAGGACTAGGAGGAGGAAGCAATAATGGAGGAGGAAGAGGGGGGATAATCACAAAGAGTGAGGGGGGAGGGCGGCAAGAAGAGGAAGGACAGATGAGAAGTGAGGCAGTGGGAACGAGGGGAGAGAGCATGGAGGCAAGCGGATGCGAGGAGGAGTGGGGTTGGAAGTGAGGGAGCATGGTGAATGGTGGGGGGAAGGATGGAAGGAGGTAGGGAGGATCGATCGCGCGGAAAAATATGCGGAGGGATGTGGGATGAGGAGGAGACGGAAGTAGGAGGGCTGGAAGATTAGGGTGACCGAAGGGAAACAAGGAGGGTGGGGTGGAGGACGCGGAATAGAAGACGGAGAAGTAGGACACGGTGGAGAAGCAGCAGGGGAAGGCAGGGAGGCAGGGAGGAGACAGGTTGGAGTTGCAGGGAGGGGTTGAGAGGAGAGAGTGGAAGCAGAGTGAAGGAGGAGGAGGAGGAGGATGGGGGGAGCAGAGGGGACAATTGCGTTGGAGATTGGTGTTTGGATCTGGGCTTCTCGTTGTGGGCTTACGTGGCAAAGCCACACGATTTGTGTCGGCAGGAATCCCATAATTGCATCAACAATGTCATGTGAGGCACGCAAAGACCAAAAGACCGAGCAGCGAATTTGACAGCGCTCCCTTTCCCACTCCGCTCCTGGTTTCGTCTCTCCCAGCCTACAGGCACAGTCTTCCATAAGACATGTGGGATCGATTGGAGCCCGTGGATTCTGTGGTCCGAGCTGGCGATGCGGGCATCTGCGTGCCAAGTGCTGTAAGCCACGCTTGTGATCGGTTTCTTATTCATTGTTTTGCCGATCGGTGCGGGCCCTCGCACCCCCCTCCCCTCCCCCCCCCCCGGAGTGGATCTTGGCTGCTTTTTGGCGCCCGTTTCGAACAGGTGGAGCCTCCCCCATAGGATGCACTGCTGCAAACAGTCGCACTAAGCAGAGGTCTGGAGCCAGACCACCCCCCTCCCCCTCCCCCGCCCAATTTCGAAACGCCGAGCAAGAAAATGTTGACTTTTACCGTTCAACACAAGGAGTGCCATTGCCCCAATTCGATGGTCCTCACACCCCGTGCCCCCCCTTGCGCACGAAGGAGCAGCGCGCTCAGGCCGCGCTGTCGCTGAGCGAGGCGAAGGCCGAGGCTGCGAAGCAGCTCTCGGAGTCGGCCTGGGAGTGGCAGCGACAGGCCCTTGGGGGCGGGGGTTGTGAGCATGGTACACCATGTGGACGAGTTGGCTTCCTTCGTCCTCGGCATGCCACTTTCCCGTCTCCGGCCCCCTCGCATGCTCCATCATCAGCCTCTTTGTCCCCATCATGGGTTTGTGTTCTCGCCTGTTCCGACTCCTCTGGACCTGCCCTTCATGGACCCCTTCAGGGCCCTAAGCTGTCAGCTTCCTAGCAGCCGTGCGCACATCTGGTTCATCGCGATGGGATGTCTCCTGCCACGGGCTCGACTTGCCAAAGAGGCTTTGCTCGAGAGCCACGTGGTCCATTTGCTGGTGGCGGGCTGTTGGGCTCAGGTGCGAAAGAAGGTGTGTACACCAGACCTGTCCCTGGGAAGTCAAGGGGTAGTGTCAGGTAGAGGCTCAGCGGCGGTGTTCCGTCACCACCGCGGCTTCCGCTACTCGTTCTCATGGTAAGCATCCGGTTGTGTCCGGCTTGTCAGGCGGTGACATGTTGGGTCTTTCGCAGGGGCACGATGGGGTAAACGCATTCCTCGCACATCGCAGTGTGGGCCAGCCTCCTCCCTGGGGAGGCGGTGCGAGAGCGCGGCGGCGTGTGCATTGCGCTGTCAGTGCGGCGCAAAGCGCAAGTTGGGAGGACCTACGGTCGACACTGTTCAGGATGGGAAAATGAGGGGACACAAACACACAGACATAATTAATCGTCGATCCCCTGGAAAATATGTGGAAATATGGGAAGTGAGGGGGAAGACGAAAATCCAGAACATATTATAAGATATTGGGAATATTGTTTTTGAGTGTGTGTGTGTGTGTGTCCCTGGGCCCTTTCACTTGTGTGTAGTCAGCGCTCCTCATGTCAAGTGGGGAAACACCACCCAGGCCCGATAATCGGCGTTTACTGGACGACTGGGCGTTTACTGAACAGCCCTGCCCTGTTCGATTCCTTCCGGGGGTGCGTTTACGAAACGGGTTCGCGTGTCGGGGTGGTTTTCATGGGCTTGGATGTTCTGCCCTCCGATCCTGGTAGCACGATGGCTTCAGCAGCGATCGGGCGTGAGGATCCTCCGGAGCGGAGGCGGCGGAGGCAGTGCTGGCTGTGGCGGTGTCCGCGGCGGTGCGCCTCCTCTCCGCCAAGGGCGAGGGCGCTCCTCGTGGTAGCACGATGCCTCACCGAGCACGTGCCACTACTCGCAGAGTGCCTACTCGCAAACGTCCGAGAAAAAGAGATGCATTCATATATGACAGGGGACCAGGCCCGGGCCCCCGGGGCCGCGACCTCTACCACAGATATGTGTGCAGGGGCCCGGCTGGACCTCGGGGGGCCCAAAAACGCCTGGGAGGGTGGTCCGATGAGCGTCACGGCTGCCACGGCGGCCCCAGCCAGCCGCCCACCACCCTGAAGACGGCTTCGACGGATCACGGGACGTCGTCAACGGCCCCATAGGCATCGAAGACGCCTCTTAACCCATGCAATTTGCTCCCCACGATGGCCCCGACAGGCGAACATGGTTCCTTTTCTCTTCGTAAAGCGTACAACGTACATTTTTACTATATTCGTGTTTTCGTCTTCGCACCATCATTGACGACCTCAGGGGCTCCTAAGATCGCCCCTACACAGCCCAGGAGGCCCCCCAGAGGGCGCCAAGACGGCCCAAGAGGGTCCCAGGCCCATCCCAGAGGCACCCAAGACGGCCCCAACGGCCTCCCAGAGGGCTTCAGAAGGAGCCCCAAATGGGGCAATCCAAGTGGAATTGCGAGCCCCACGCCCCAAGAGGACCACCCAGACCCCCAAGAGGCCCCTGAGCAGCCAACAAAGCCCCAAGAGGCCCCCAAGGGGCCCAGGGAACGCCCAAGGCCCTCCAACACACCCCAACAAGTCATGTCCCTAGAAACCCTTCCGGGGGATAGTAGTTCATCATGGGCCCGAAAGTCTCCGGGGGGCCCCATCGAGATACCGCAGAGCTGTCTGGGAAGTTGATTGGGAACATAAGTGATATCCTTCTTGCGGCCCTCCGTGGATCGTTCCGCACGAAATTGCCCCAAGTGTCCTCTTGAACCGACGACGACGACGAAACGACGAAGACGAGGACGACTCCGACGAGGACGACTCCGACGACGACGACGACGACGACGACGACGACGACGACGACGACATTACGACGACGACGGCACGCCCCAACAGGCTCCCCAAGACGCCCCCGCAACCAATGTTCCCAGAAGGCCTTCTGCGATCTAGACGTTTGCTAGAACAGCAGGTGCCCATACCTCTCGCAGCCTCTCCTCTTGCTTCCTCCCTCTTCTCTCCTCCCTGCTTCAGGGCACCCGCGGTGCCCAGAGTTTTCTTTTGGGGTGGGCGGGCGGGGCCATAGCTCGCTGGCCCAGCGTGCGGCGCAGTCAGGCACTCCGAGGCGTGCTGGGTAGTGGCTGGGCCAGGTCCGTCGCCTGGCAGGCGCCCGCGGTTCGAAGGGGCAGAGGCAGCAGGGAGGTCAGCTTGAGGCGCCCTCGACGACGAGCCCGCCGCCGGCCATGGCCGGTTCGGGCGGGCGTGCCATCGGCCACGAGGAGTACTACTACCTCGTGTACTGTTACAAAGACGGTGGCGCCGAGCCCGCCCCTGGAGAGGCAGCCCGCGGCGCCAGCTGTGCCCGGGCCGCTGCTCGAGGAGCGGGCGATGCCGAGAGAGTTGGAACAACTTCAGGAGGGCGAGCAGCAGCCGCCCGCCCCACAGCAGCGTCCGGCGGTGGCAGAGCCTCGATCGACTGGCAACGCCATTCGCTCGCAGCAGGCGCCGGCGCCACCGCCGCCCACCTCCAGGTCGCCCTCACGGAGCTGTACCAGGGAGGGTCGGCGTCGAGCCAGGCGGGCTTGCATCCGCCAGCGCATGGTTCGAGGCGGCGCTCAAGTGGCTGGGCGAGAAGGTCGGGCATGCTCTGGGTGCTATGCTCCATCAGGTGAGCGCTGTCCCCATGGGCATGGTGAGCGCTATGGGTGAGTACATTTGTGGCTGCTGCTGGGCGCGGCTCCAATTTCTCGCATGGAGCGCGGCTGCAGCGGGAGTGATCGCCCTCCTCGGTTCCAGGATCAGCTTTGTCTCTTGTGTCCTGCGCGCGGCCTGGATGCTTTCGTCGCTCGTTTTCGTGACTACGCGAGGCTTCGTCAAAAGGCAGCAAGACGGGCCGCGACGCGCAGGTCGCCCTGGACGGCAAGCCGAGCGCTGCCCTGACCTGTCGCGGTCCAAACGAGGCCGAAGCCGTCGACGAAGACTACGTCAAGGATGAGGTGAGGGCGAGGGGAGGCAGCTCCGAGAACATGATGCCCAACGACTGCATCATCAAGTCGGGCGCGGCGGTGGCGAGGCTGGAGCAGGGGCCCATCAAGGGCAGCCGCTTCACCCGTCCTGGGTGCGTCCATCGCTTCAAGGAGATCAAGGGCAGCTCGCACAGACACCTCAAGACCGACTTGGAGGCTACACGAGATGACGAGGGGATCGGCCTGATGCACGCGTTCTCCGCTGCGCCATGCACGTTGCCACCGGGAGACAGGTCCATGGTCCATGCGGGGGCGTCGTGCGTCGTCGGTTACACTCTTCGATCCACACGTCGGACCTGGCCAATCTCCCACCTGCAGGGCAGGCCAGGACGAGGGGCGGAGCATGCTGCTCCTGGATGTGTCGGGGGGCGTCGGGGCTTGCTAGGAAGGCGCGCAGGCGTTGTGCGACTCGGAGATGGAGGCGCCAGCGCCTGGGCGACGGCTCTGTCAAGGCGGTAGTGATGGACCCCAATCCGGACACAGAGTCTGGGCCGAGCGCGGGCGCGCGCGAGGCAGACAGGGTCGCATTCCGGACCGCCAGGTGCGCGCAGGTGCTGTGCGCGAAGGATTGTCAGGACTCGGCGAGGAAGGAGCCCGTGCTGATGCCGGTCGAGGACGCCGCCATCTCAGACGTGCGCGAGTCTCCGGAGGTGAATGGAAGTCGCCCGTGCAGGTGTAGGGCTGCTCGCGAAGGATGGCGGCGTGAATGCTGCCGCCGCTGCTAGCAATGACACCCTTCGCTGCATATTCTGAGCCACCGCGCACTGCGTCTGCAATCGCGCCTGCTGGGCCTGCCCGTTCCACGCCCAATCTTACGCGGCCCAAGCAGTCCAGAGGAAATGTGCCCGTTCCAGCTGCTTCCGCGAGAAGACCACCGAGAAGGGCGGCTTCCCTCTCTGCGCCGCGCGCGCTGCTGATCGGGTAGTGGGCCGGCGCAGCCGGTCGGCCACGCCGCAGCCGCATGAGGGCAGGGAGCGCCAGGAGAGGAGGCAGGGCACGGAACCCGAAACGCAGTCGTCGATCTCGCGCGGGAGCAGCCCAGCGGCAGAGGTCGCCGCAGACAGGGCTTGGCCGGCGCGTGCGCGGGGCACTTTGGCCGACGCGGCCGCGGTCGGGCGAGCCCACTACAGCTTCCGGGCCAAGTTCACGGGCCCCTCCCGAGGCGCAGAAGACGACGACCCCAGGGCGGATGTGGAGGCGGTCGGGCTGCGCGTCACCTTCTCCGTTCCTGACGGCGCTCTACCGGCGCCAAGGTCGAAGCTGCTCGACGAGTTCATCCGCGCGCAGCCCCCCGCCATCTGCTGGATGTCGGGGGTGGCCTCGCTCCTGTCTGACAACGGCGACGGCGCGAGCGCGAACTGCGAGGGCGGCGGTCTCAGCCGCGCGTCTGCGGCCGCAATCGTGCGCGATAGAGGCCGACGCCACCTGGCGAGGCGAGCGAGATCCAGAAGCAGGAGCGCCACGCCGACCAGACAGGGCGCGAAAGACGACCTCGACGAGAGGCTGAGGCGAGCCATGGAGACGGATGAGGCGCAGCGCCGAGCGGACCCGAGGGCCGCGCTCATCGAGGGGCTCCTGCTCAGGAGGGCTGAGGGCCAGTCCGACGAGGGAGCGAAGCGTGCTATGGCGGCCGATGCCGGCGCTGGCCCCGTTGAGTTCTTGCCGGGGCCCATCGAGGCCGCAGATGCACCGC